CGGGGCAGGCTGTCCTCAGGCTGAGCTGCAGTGGCCCTGGCAGCCGTGTTCTCTCCCCCCAGCTCCTCACCTGAGGCTCCCAGGCCTATCTCCACGCCACCTCTCTGGAATTCACAGCGGCTCTGATGCTCGGGCATAACGAGGTGGCGGCTTCGGTGGACACTGGATATGAGGGTGGGCAGGTCGCTGTCCTGGCTGCAGCAAGCAAGACAATGAAGGTGAGACCCCCAAAGGCTGTGTGCCCAGCCCTGGGCACAGCAAGTGCCCAACTAAGCTCGAGTGTGGGCATGCGTAGTGCCAGAGGGCAAGTGTGCCATGCCTCCTGCCCGCCTCTGTGTGTGGTCTGTGACAGCACCATATGCAGGCATCCCCATAGCAGGGCCCAAGGGAAACATCTAGTGGGTGTGACCTATCTAGGTCTCACCCAGGACCGCTAGGACCTGCCAGGCTTCTGCCTGGCATGGGGCTTTACACTCAGGCCCCACCGCAGCTCCCAGGGAGGGTGTGTGCAGGGCACGGGGACCCAGCTCAGTCTTGCAATGCTCTCCCCATAGTGACCAGAGCAATCACCTGACAAGGGGGTGTCTGCTCATGAGGAACAGTGACCAGAGAGGACTCACACTGTTGCACATGCATCTAGCGCTTACTCCTGTGTTAGCTGCTTCATTAAGAAAGTCGCATGCACTCTTTCAGCTAAAGCTTGCAACGACCCACAGACGCTCAATTTCTTCAAATAAGGAAACCAAGGTTCAGACCGAAGTCCTGCAGCCAATGAGATGTGTGCACACACAGGGACACATGTACACTCTCACAAGGACTGGCAAGAGCATGCACCTACACACGCACACAGACACGCAGACACACAACCTGAATGGGGAGTCTGGTCCCCCCGGTGTGCTCATGACACTCTGCTCTCCCCAAGGCCCCCAGCTAAGAACCTCAGCCGCCAGGCATGTGTGGGCCTGGAATAAACATGTCTTTAACTCTTTTGTTCCCTCAGTTCTCTTTCTGCTAACGCAGCTCAACCCTACACCAGAGTCCCAGAGAAAGGGTGGAGTGAGAAAATGTCAGTGTGGCTGTGTGTGAACGGCCCCCCATCTGCTCCTGGAGTTCTTAGCATAGAGGAGGGTCACCTGCCACCTTACAGATGCCGCCTGGAGCAGCAGGAAGACAGAAGAGAGGAGGAGCAGGGGGGCCCTGGGCACCCCCCCCCCAGTGCCCTTGCTCCCTGGCCCACCTGGAATAGAGCAGCCTCCCAGCTGGGCCGCTGCAAGGGGGCCTCCACGGAGTGACCTGGGAACCGACCCTGAACCTCATTAAATAGCCCCCAGCCCCCCTGGCCTGGGCGGCTGGAGCAGGCTAATCCAGGCTGGCCCCTAAGCAGATCAGTTTCAGCCCCAAAGACTCCAGGGCTGGGCTCTAGAGCCTTCTGGGAGACCCAGACGCGGGTTCTCTCCCCACCCCCACCCCCTCTCCCAGGAGGAGAGAAGGTGCCCCCCCCATGCAAAGAGGAGGGGAGGTGGGGTGCGAGTAAGTACTTTATGGGATTAATTGGCAGCAATTCTCATCCCTCTATCATCCTCATCAATGCGAGGGTGTTGAGGAGAGAAGTGCTGTCCTCAGCACTAGGGAGGGGGTGGGGGGCTGGCTAGAGGCTGCCTCCAAGTTCTCCCCTGAGGGGATCCAATTCTGGTGTCCCCAGGACTCCTACAGGAAGTGGATCACCCCGGAGACTGAGTAGGTGAGGAAAGGCCTCATCAGTTTGTTCCCCATGAACCCTTAGACCAGCACCCACACAGGGACCGGGGACTCTACCCCCCAGCTCACCACCACCGCCATGGCCATCACCTCTTTCACTCAGCGGTCAGTCATTCAGGCACTCAGGTGGTGCTGTGAAACCGTGGAGGTGAGGCCCGGTGGGAATCAGGCACTCAGGTGCTGTGAAACCGTGGAGGTGAGGCCCGGTGGGAATCAGGACACCACCGCCCACCACAGCCTTGCTCTGCTCTCTGCCTTGGGGGTTCGCCCCACAGGCCCCAAGACAGCCTGGCCTGACTCTGGAAAACATGTTCTGGTCACTCACTGAACAAATTATGCCAGGTTTTACGTAAAGAACTACAAAGAAACACCAGGCTGAAAACACATGAACTCTGCATTTGGCATCCCAAGTATGAGGTTCCCACAGCCCTGAACACAGTGTCTGCACCGTGTTGTGCATGAGGGACCAAGCCCACAAGGGTTCTTGGGAGGCTCTCTGTGGCACCATGGGGTGGGGCTGTGTATCAGGAGGTCAGGGGGAGAGCTTGAGTGACAGAAGGGGCTGCAGGGAGGAGGGTGTGTGCTAGGAGGTTGAGGGAGAGGGGTCTGGCCCCTCCGACCCCAACTCTCCCCGGGGGGCACCCTGGGCTCCTCCAGGCTCCCTCAGCCGACTGTCATACTGTCCAGTGTTTGCCCATATCCTGGCCAGCTCAGGGGCCCCAGGAGGGCAGGGACCATATCTCCGGCCAGCTGCCTGGGGTGCATGGGTGCTGAAGCAGGAGCTCCAAGCAGGCAAGTGGGCCAATGGATGGAACTCATGGACAGATGGATGGACAGACAGGTGAAGGCCAATGGATGGAGAGAGAGGGACAAACAAAGTGCGAGATGATGACAGATGAACAGACAGGCACTACTGAATGGATGGACGCAGAGACAGAAAGGATGGGAATAGCAGAGAGATGAATGGACAGAGGCTAAAGAACAGACAGGAGACTAGAGATGAAGGACAGAGGGACAGCGCCAACAGGAGCCAGGAAGAGACAAGCCAGGCTGTCTGCCTGCTGCAGCCCTCCTCGGCCCGATGCCGAGGTGCCGCATCAGCAGGTGGGGGGCAGATAGCCTGTAAGTCCTCTTGGCACGCTACACCCCTGCCCCGAAACCGCAGTCTCCTCTCTGGTAAAATCCAGAAAATCATCCCAGACACCCCTAGTGCCTGTGCAGGACTGAAGGAGCCCACATGCACTTGGACTTGGCCCCTTACCAGGGGCACCCTCTGTCTGGACACCTGGGACCTTCTCTCACTTTACCAGGCCAGGGGTGGGTGAGGAAAGGGCTACCGGAGGCAGGAGGAGTCATTCCAGGAGTGGAGGAACCTCCCTTGGGTTCGCTATAAGCTTCACTGACAAATTCATCCTGTAGCTTCCCAAGCAAAAGGCTCATAAAATGTCATCAATGTTCATAACGGTTCATAAAAATGATCAGTTGAGCAGGCAACTTCAAAATGAGGTAGAAATAAGTTTAAAGATGTTTTCACTGTAATTCGGCTCTAGGACCCAGATATTTTCAGAGACGTAAATAATAATACATATGGCACAGCACCAGGCTGGGAGTGGGGAGGACAGGCTCCCACCTTGGGGGCTGGCCCCTCAGCTTTGGCTGAGGAAGCTGGGCCTGTGCTGGGTGCCTACTGTCTCCTAGGCTGGGCCCTTCCTGTACCCTCCCTGGAAGCCCTGTGGTAGGACTTGACCCCACTGACCAGAAGCCACAGCCTGGGCTCCATCCACAGACTGACCATCCTTTGCTCATCTGGAATCTAGAACTTGGGTCTCCCCAGTGCCCTCCCAACTTCCTCATCAGGTCCCCTCATTTTTATCTCCTTGCTGTGTCTTGGGTTCGCCGCCCCCCTGCCTTCCATCATGCTTCCACAGCCTGAACCACTGCAGACTGGAGCAAACCTCCAACCTCCTGGGCAGGGCCTCCAGAAGGACCCCATCAAAACACACACTCTATCACCCCTCTGCTCAAGAACTTCGGGTGGCTCCTCACTGCCTGGAGCACCGTGTCCTACAGGCTCAGCATCCAAAGTCCTTTAGCATTCAGTTGGACCAGACCTGCCAGCCCCCCACAGCCCCACATCCCCTTCCCTTGTTCTTCCACATCTTTGCAGACATCCTCTTTCCCTAGTGAACGCCTCTGCATCCTATGAGACCCCAGGCACACATCACCATCCTCATCTCCGGGTGGGTCTTTGGGAGGGTGGGAGGGTGGGAGGGGGAGGTCGTGGCCTCATCTTTGGGCAGACTGACTCAAATGGTCAGTCCCATGTGGGAGGGTTAGGCTGCCCAGAACCCACCTGTGCTGTTGTTAGGGCCTGGGCACAAACCGACCGACAGACCACAGACTAGGGAGGGGAGGAAGGGAGGGAGGCTGGAAAGATTTAGAAGCAGACCCATGGGAAATGGAGCAACAAGGCTCCATCCTGCCCACGCACGATGTGTGGGGATAAGCCCAGACCCTACCTGCAGGACGTCTCTCGGAAGGAGATGTTCACGTCCCAGTGGGTGTGGACTCTGCAAGGAAAGAAGCGGAGGGTCAAAGTGGCCTCCAGGATCTGGTACCTGAACAGCAGGGTGTGTATGGCATAGCCCTCATCTTCCCCAGAGCGCTGGCCCCAAGGGAACTGGGTTGGCTCGGATTTGTCTCCAGTACTATCTGGTACCAGCTCAACCAGCCAGTGGCTGCCACCAGGATAGAACCGTGGGGCAGGAGCCGACTCCTGGTCTCACCAGACAAAGGAATTGGGAAGGACAGAATTGAGGCTGCCACACCTGTCCTTCTTGTTGCAGTGAACCCAGAAGAGCTGCCACATTGTGCTGAGGGCGGGGGGGTGGGAAGGGGAGCTGCAAGCCTCTTCTGCCCATCAGCCATGCAACTGAACCAAATTCCTAGTTGCTAGAGCTGCTCCAGCCAGGCTGGAACAGGTCAGGGAGCAAGCCCCATGGCCGCTGCCGGCACCAATGGTCCAGTGTCAGCCCAGGTGGGTGCAGCTTCCTGGGTCCCAGCTGCTACCAGTCTGCCTCCTGAAAGCGACCACCGCACATTGTAGGAGGAGGGATGCCAAAACGAGAGGTCAAGTAAGGAAACAGCTCTGCCCTGTGCCTGTCCCCTCACTCATAGCAGTGTTCCCAGAAAGACCCTCAGGCTGAGGGATGGTGGTTGGAACCTGTGTGGGTGTGTCAGCAAGCGTGGGTATGAGGGCTGGGAAGTGGGGGTGTTGGGGGTTTGGGAGGGTTATTTTAGGGTAGGAGATGTTGGAACACGTTGAAAGACTAGGTGGGAAGAGAAAAGGCCTAGAAACTCTGGGGGTGAGTAACATGTGCTGGATGGACAGACAAATGAATGGACAGACGACAGATAGATGGAGGCATGAAGAGGTGAGTGGACAGTGGGAGGTGTCTCTGCCAGGAGAGGAGATGGTGGGAAGTCAGGAAGAGTGGCCCCAAGCCTGGAAGGGACAGTGGGTAGCCAGGAAAGCTGCCTCCTGCCAAGGAGAATGAGCATGAGAGTTTCAGGGACTGCTCCGGGAAGGGGGCTGCTCAGCTCCTTTCTCTCCACCTGGCTGTGGTGGTATCAGGCCCTCCCTTCCTGGGTCTCCCTGACTGCCCTCCTCCGAGAGCTCCTGGCCCTTCCTAGAGCCTCCTTCCTTCCCCACATGGAACCTCGTCGACCCCCTCCCTCCAAGTGGGGGCAGGGTAGGTTCTCACTATGGTCTTGTGGCGTCAGGGTTCAGGCTGTTTCAGCTTCGGCAGATACCAAGACATGACAAGCTAAACCTGGGCCCTGTCCCCAGGGCAAAGGGTCCTCACCCTGGCCTGGCCTTCAGCTACCTGGAGACACCAGTCTTGATGTCCCGACCAGAGCCCGTGTGCCTCCCCCGAGCCTGGCCCCCAGTAAAAGTACCTTCTCTTCATGATAGGGACATGTGGGGTGTCCTCCTGTTTCAAGCCTGGTTGCCGCCCACAGGCTGGGCCACTCCCATCGCTGTCACCATCACTGGACGAGAAGCTGGGGGTCAGCTCCTTCTTTAGGACCCGTGCAGTGGGGAGGGCAACTGTCCTCTTGTCTGCCAGCCGCCCCCGGTTCTGGGTAGGGAGGGAAGAGAGGAAGGTTAGGCTGAGCCAGGACCCTCAGGGTCCTGGGAGGTGTGCACTCCAGGCCCAAGCCTCAGGCAGGGTGCAGGTGACGGAAGCCCTCAGAGCAGCTGCTAAGATCAAATAGGCACCATCACTGGCCCCGCTACAGGGCTTCTAGCCCACAGGACAGGCCCGAGGGTCCACATGGGTCCCAGTGGCTGGAGCTGAAGACAAGAGCAGAAAGATGAGGCCTGGGTCTGCCACCAGGGAGCGGGGTGGAGTGAAGGGCTGTAGGCCCTGGCCAGGCTCCTCATGACACTGCCTTGTCCAGACTCTGCACTCTAGCCTGAGTGTGGGGATGCCCACCTGGAGGCAGACCCCAGCTTTCTCGGCCCCAGGGAGCCCCAAGGGACCACGTGTGCACAACACAGCATGTCTGCGTTCTGCCACGTGTTCAACGTGCAGTTACCTCTGTGTGCTTGTGTCTGCTGGACAATCCCACACAGCTCCTGCATGAACCCCCAACCAATGCCAAGTCCTGTCTTCTATTCTGCTAGTGCCACGCAGGGTCCAGTTCAGGGTTGTTTGGAGCCTGAGTCTGGGGCCTGATCCTGCTGACCCCTTGCAAACTGCAGGCCCGGGGTTCACAGGTCCCTTGATGGGGAGCCCTTACCAACCTAGACCCTTTGTCCCATGGGCCCCTAGTGAGCCTACCCTCTGGGTCAGAAACAGAGATTCCATTTCTTCCACAACACCTCCTTCTCCCCTCCCTACACCCATGTTGTGAGTATGTGGAGCTCATGTGTGTGCTGTGTGCTGGGAGATCAGAGCAGGAAGGCATGTCCTGTGCACAGACATGGAGGGTACTCCACACCGAGCTTGTCCGTGCTCAGAGCACATGCACACACCATACAAGGTCACTATACACCAAGGCTCCCTACAGTGTCCTTAGGTCCTGCTGCCCCAGTGGAAGAAGAAAAGTTACTGATTATTTTCGGGTGGGCAGGAACCTTTTTCTTATTTAATAAGGGGTTGCTGTTTCAGGGGGGTGGCAGGGACCTTGGGATTATCTAATTCTCTCTCATCTCTTCAGTCACCTGGGGACCCTCGGACATCCTCTTTCCTGTTGCAAGGACAATGCCATCATACCCACGAGCTTGAGGAGGAAAGTGTGGAGGAGGGTCTCGCCTCACCCTGGACCCGTGTCATCCTGGACCCGAAGGACTGCTAAGCAGCCACCATTGTCCTGCCCTCCAGAATAAGGGACCTTCCCTTCAGACCCAGCCCACCCCAGCTCCAGATTTGGTCAGTGGCCCCAACAGGGTCAGGGAGCCCTAGTCTTCTCCCCTCGCTTGGTCTGGGGACCACAATTACCCCCCTCTCCAGGCCCCCCCCCCGCGAGCCACAGTCTCCCCCATACTTGCCCTTATGAATCCACTTGGGACACCCTCCGTATTCCTCTCTGCAACATACTCAGTGAGAGACACTGGACAGCACTGGGGCGGGGTGGGGTGGGGTGGGGCCGTGGAGTCTGAGGGTAGGCCTGAGAGATGAAATGGCCTGCTTTGTGGCCCCTTCTGAGACCCTGGCCTTGGCCCTGTGCTCTAACAGCAATAGCAGAGAGTGGTTGAGGCCGCAGGTGTGATGGCCTGTCTGGTCCAGCTATCGGGCTCCAAGGGCAGTGTTTTCAACAACCCCTGGCCTGTCTGAAGTGTGCACTGCTGGGAAGTCCCACTCAGGTCTGCCCTTCTCTAGCCTGTGGCCCAAGCACCAGGACCTCCTCTCCTGTCTTTCTGCTTTAATTGAACTATTCTCTTAAGAAGAAAAGGAAATGCATTTCCCTCTGCTTCTCATCTGTAGGACGAGGAGGAGAGGAAAATGAGGGCAGTAATACTGACACTTGGGATGGGGCCAGACCAGCTATGTTGGCCTGTGGTGGCTCTTGGAGGTGCTCCTGTGGGAGGGGAGCTGAGGAAGAGGGACCAGGATGGGCAGCCCTGACCCCGACCACGGACAGGGAGCATACTTTCCTCCTACGCACACCCAAGACCTCAACCACTCACCCCTGCTCAGCAGCGCACAGATTTGAAAACTCTGTGACAAACCTCTGTTGCTAGTCAACCATTGGCTCCTCAGAACACAAGGATGGGTACAGGAAAGCCATCCTGCATGTCTGCATGATCCCTGCACCAAATATGCATACCCACATTGTGCCCCTGGGGTATCTGTGACTGTGAGGTGTGTATGTACCTTCGGGCCTGGCTGTGGGGGATGGAGGAAGACAATCTCTATGTGGCAAAAGTGGGGGCTGGAAAGACAAGGGGGTCTGTGTAGCTCCTTCCTAAGGGAAGGGTACAGGGATGGGCCTGGGAGGGACCAGGTTCAGGAGAGGCAGGCCCAGGTCTGAGGCATCCCTCATGCAGGACAGGGACCCGGGAGCCCCAGACAGGTAGGCAGTTCGAGGTCGTGGCCTCATCCCTGCCAGACCTCCCCACCCCTCCCCAATCCAAGCAATGTCCTGGGGAAATTGATACTGGGCTCAGGCCACCTGTACCCCACACTCGTGTGAGAGACCTCTGGAAGCGTGGGTTAAGATAGGCTGGGACCCTCCAACCCGAACAGAAACCCCAGGCTAGCCTTGAGGGTGCCCAGAAGACTCTTCTCCAGTACTAGCTGCTTGAAAAGGTGCGTTAAGTGGAGCGGGAGCTCGGCTTCTTGCCCCAGGCAGGTACCGTAGTAGCAGGTAAGAGGTGGGCTGCCTGTGCACACATACTCTGACGACGAGCTCACGGCAGACAGGTGTGTGGGGTAGGCACACAGGAGAGGCATGGCTGTATCCCCATCCCCCTGTCCAACTTGTGTGTCTGATCTGGTGTCTGTATTCACAGGTGTGTTTGTGGCTTCCCCGCCTGCTCAGGTTACCCGCCTCCAGGGTCCATGAGGAAACCAAAACATCCCTTCCTCCTTCCTACTTCCAGTCCAAAGTAAAGAAGCTGAAGGTGGTGTCCTGGGTCCTCTCTCACCCCTTCCTGTGTGGGGGACTGCAGACGCCAGCAATAACAGCACAATCCCAACCACCAGCAGCAGCCAGGGCCCTAACCGGCTCTCCCCGAGCAGCTCAAAATTGGTTCCTCTCAAGATGCAATTTCTTCTTCAGATCAGTCCTCCAACTATTGCTGCCTGGAGGACATAGGATGTGGAAGACAGTGCTTCAGGGGCAGGCCCAGCACCCCAATCTCTGCTGCTCCCCTAGGCCAAAGAGGGCATCAATACATGTCTACACTGGGTTGGGGGTCCCACATCAGCCTCCACCTCCAGATCTTGACACCAAAGGCCCACACTGCTCAGATTCTGCCCCCAACTGGGTTGTATCCTCAGACTCTCCTGGACATCCAGGGCCTTGCCCAGCAGGGTTCTAGCTTTTGGCATCCCAGAGACACACGTTACTCACCTCCAAGCTGTGACCACCCCAGAATGTACATCCAGGCCAGCCAACAGTGTCACATCCCAGAACAAGTGTTACCTTAGGACCAGCCCCTCTCCCAAGCCAGGCCAGCTGACACAGTGACACCCCCACCCCCATCCCAAACCTGTGACAGGGCAGGGTCCCAGGCCCCAGGTGGATGGCACTGTCCAGGGAGGAGACCTTTACAGCCTAGGCTGTCCCCAAGACCTGAGAAGAAGCAGCTCCAAGGCTCCCAAGGAGAGGCTCCAAGATAGGGAATGGTCAGGTCCTGCATCCAAAGAGGGGAGGGCTGCCCCAGGATTCCCACCCAAAGCAAAGTCTCCCCTATTTGCCCCTGAGGGGGCTCACTCCTGCACACTGGCAGGGTTGAGGTTAGGACTCTGGATCCTAGAAAACAGGCACAAGCTCCACAGGGGAGAAGGAAGACCCAAAGCCCCAACTTTTCTCCCACATCTCACCACCGGGGAGGATATTCGACAGCCCGGACAGTCGCAGATCGGAGGGTGCACCTGCAGAATCCCCTTGGACATAAGCGTCTTCAGACTTTTTCCTGTGAGGAGAGCCGAGGCAGGACCGGTGAGAGAGCAGGGCTGGGGCACAGGTAGAGCCGGCACACACGGGCGCGCTTTCGGGGCGCAGTAAGCTGCAAGGCCGGTTCCCCCTCCTGGCACGTGTATGAACATCCAACTTCCGAACCCGCTACCTGGCCCTGCCACCCACCACACCCTCGCGGACGCCGCGGGGATCTGCGGAGCTCAGAAACTCAAGATCCCGGCAAGCGCCGTCCCCTGACCAAGGGCGGCCTCCTCCCCGCCCCCTGCGTCCCTCCTCCCGCTCTCTACCCTCTCTCCAAGCCGGTCCGGGGGAACTGGGAACAGGGTTCACGAAGGTCGAGCCTGCGCGCAGGTGAGCGGCGCCGCCGGGACCAGGGCTGTGTGTCTGAGCCCTCAGCGGGAGGAGGGCGGCCACAGCAGAGCCGCGAGCCTCAAAGCCCAGCGCGACTGGGTCCCTAACTTTCTAAGGATCCCCCACCCCCGCCCCTGTCGCTCACTGCGCTTCCCCCGTTTGCCTGTTCGGGCGCGCTCACAACGCGCCCTCGGAGCCAGACTCCTGAATGCTCCAAGCAGGCTGCTCCCAGCCCCGCCGCCGTTCCAGCTCCGCGCGCGCCCCCGCCCCGATGCGCGCCCCCGCGGCCCCCACCTGCCTACGACACCCCTACACCTTCCCTTTCCTTCCAGCCACTCGCACCCGCACCCCGGCCGCCCGTGTGCCCCTCTACTCCCGCTAGAACCTGGTGGCTCCCCGACCCGGGAGGGAAGTTGTGTCCCGCCCAGCCGGCCTCCCGCAGTCTCCCGAGTTCCCCTAAACTTCCCCTGGGCCACATAGCCCAGGAATCCCGCAAAGACCTTCCGAGTGGGAGGAGGGGCCAGCTCGTGTGCAGCCGGGAGCCCAGAGCACCGCGGCTCAAGCTGAGGTGACGGTGGAGGCCGAGGGCGCTCTGCTCGGGTCCACCAAGGCGACCGTGCTGGGGGCGGTGGTGGGGGGGGGGGGGGGGTAGTGTCCCTGCGGCAGCCCCAGAGTCGCAGCGCCCTCTCTGGGCGGAGATGGAGTCTCCCAGGTGGCAGAATGAGGGGGTCCGGACCCAGGGGTCCTCGGGGAGCAGAGGGGAGGGACCGTAGCGGCCTGCGCCCCCACCGCGGCCGCACCTTTGTGGCGGATGCTGCGCTTCCAGTCCTTGGCCGTCTCTCGGCCGCTGACGAACTGGAACTCGTTGGGTGTGAGCCACTCCCCGCGGTGGCGGATGGACGGACCCTTGCTGCCTTGGCAGAGTTTGCGCACGTAGAGCAGCGCGCGGTTGGCGCCGCACTCCACCTCGATGCACGGCTCGCCGTTGTCCAGCAGCGGCTGGAAATCCGGGGCTGCGGCCGCAGTGGCTGAGAAGCGTTCGAGGGCCAGAGGGTCCCGGGGCAGGTGGAGGTGCGGGGCGGCCTCGTGCAGGCTCAGGTAGGCGCGCGGGGAGCGGAGTGGTGGAGCCAGCAGCGCCTCGTAGCCAGCGGTCGCGGCGGGTAGCGAGGCGGCCGGGGGCAGGGCGGCCGCCGCTGGCAGTGGTGTCAGGTAGCCTGGGAGGGGCGGCAGCGGTAGTGCGGCCAGGGTCGGATGGAAGGTGGCCAGAGCCAGGGCCAGGTCTTCGCGGCCTGGGAGCTCCTTCTTGACCGCTGGCATGACGGGCCGGTGGCCTTGTAGCCTGGCTCCCCGCCGCCGGCGCAACTTGTTCGGGCCTGGGCTGGAGTTGGGTCTCGAGGGCTGGGGGCCCAGGAGTCTCCCGGCCGCGCGCCCGCCCTACCCGCTACTGCGCCCCGGCACCTGCAGCCGCGCCGCCCGCCGGGCCACCACGGACCGCTTCTCGGCCGGCTGCCGGGGCCTTGGCTGCCCGAGACATGATGCTGCGGGAGCTCCTACCGATCCCCTATCGACCTGCCGAGCGCCGCAGCCCCGGGGCCCCAGGGCTCCACGGGGCCCTGGGCCACCTGCGCCCGCGCCCCC